TAACTAATTAATTAAATTAAATTAAAGTCAAAATATTTATTTTTTATGTAAATTAATTATAAAAAAATATATATTTTAATAAAAAATATAAAAATATATAATAAATACACAACTTATATCCACGAATGGAAAGGATGGAAAAACTGTGATTGAATTTGAGGTGAAGTCGAGCACGATTAGTGCTCCCAAGCATAGGAACTAGGAAAATTAATCAATTATTTAGAAAAGGAATGGGAAAACAAAATGTCGGTTCCCCAATTCTAACAACGGGGAAACTCGAATACCCGACCTCATATATCATAGTCTAATTACTCTTCTGAGTTCTAGGGTTTCATTCCTTCTCTCCTTCGATCTGTCAATCCGATTCAAATCGATTAGGGCTCCGGTAGACGAACTAAGATGCCGCAGAGACATTCGAAGAACAATAACGATTTAGCCTTCTTCACGTACGATGAGAAGAGGAAGCTAGGGTACGGGACGCAGAAGGAGAGGTTGGGAAGGGACTCCATCAAGCCTTTCGATGCTTGCTGCCTCTGCTTGAAACCTTTCATCGATCCCATGTGTTGCCAGAAAGGCCATGCCTTTTGTAAAGAATGCATTCTGGAATGCCTGTTGGCCCAGAAAAAGGATATTCAAAGGTACCCAATTCCGTTTTCCTCTTCTTCCCCCTTCCCGTTCATTGAGTTTAATTGCCATGTACTTCGCAGGCTTTTGATTAATTAGCTTAATCGCTGTGCTGAATCGTTGACCCCACTGTTAATTTGTTTACTCTGTGCTGTGGAATTGATGGTTTTGCGATTTCTGCCTTTTTTTCCTGTGGGAAAGTAGAATGTTGATTCAATGGATGTTAGTTATGCATGTTAGTTCAATCGCATGCCAAATAATCTCTCTGATCTGAGTCTTTTGCTTGTCCGTTCGGATTGGAGAGAATTTTGGATCTCTGTTTACACTCTTTTGAGTTAGGGGAGAAAGCTGCATTTCTTATTGCTTTTGTTCTTCTCATTGGGGTTGGTATAATACTTGTTTTATGGATTTTTTTTTAGTTGTATTCCACAGGCAATAATGTCCTAACAGGTTTGTTTTGATTCTCGAGCAGCACTAAGTATGTTTACCTCCTCAATGTTGATATTTCTGTGGTTGCTTTAAATCCAATTAGGCTTGTGACTACCCTGAAGATATGAAAGCTTGTTTTTTGAATTCATTTTAATGGATAAATATATGTATTATGGCTTTTTCTGTTTGGTTGAGGTGTTGCTAGATAGGAACCATTGAGTCTGAAACAATTGGGTTGCTTTCCTCTGATCCTTAAGAAAAACTTTTAACACCAAGAACAGACTTTAGAAGTTAGGGTAGGTAGATGAGTGGAGGTTGTAGGAAAACTTAGAGGTATTATGGAATTCCTCTACTTTTCACCTAATTTTTTAAGGAACTTAAAACTCATCTTTCATTTCTTGACTACTTGTCTGGTTGTCTGTGAAAAGTTTGTCATTAGTACTTTGACTTTTTTCATCTTGCGAATGCTGTGCTCAAGTGGATTTTTTTTTTTTTTTGCTTTTGTCTGTTATCTTGATAGGAAGCTTGCCGCCCATACTGCTCAGCAGAAGCAAGAGAAGGAAGAGGAGGAAGAGAGGTTGATGTTGCAGAAAGCAAGAGAGCTTGATGCATTTGATCAGCAAAACCATGGTGCAGTGCCACAATACAGTGACAGAAACCACAGCCGAGACAAGAATGGCTTCCATGGGGCAAACAGTGTGAAAGCCACTTCTTATGAAGAGGAGGCACTCAGGACAATGAAAGCATTTTGGCTTCCTTCTGCCACACCAGAAGCTCCTGTTAAAGTTGAAGCTCCTTCTAGTTGTACAAGCTGTCCAGAAGGCAAGGAGAAACTCAAGCTGAAAAGCCTGTTTCCTATTCATTTCACTGAAGACAAAAGTGAGCAGGATAGATCCAATCCTCTCGATAAATCCTATATCTGTCCTAGCTGTAAGGTTACTCTGACCAACACATTGTCGCTGGTGGCCCTAAGCTCTTGCGGTCATGTCTTCTGCAAGAAATGTGCAGACAAATTTATGGTGGTTGACAAGGTTTGCTTGGTTTGTAATAAGGCATGTAAAGAGAGGAACTTGGTGAACTTGGAGAAAGGAGGGACAGGCTTTGCGGGCCACGGGGACCATCTTGAAGCTAGAGACTTCAAGCATTTGGGAAGTGGTAGTGGTTTAGGGCTTGTGAGACCTGCAATGAAGACATAAACTCAGTTTTTGTGGGCTTGTGGTTTGCCTTTTTCTGAAAGGACTAGGGAAGTTGGAAACAAGCTAAAGCCACTAGGGTGCAACAAGGCTCTTCCAGATTATGATTTTGCTTTCTCTATGTATAATACATTAAATGCTTGTTATTTTTTTTTCTTTTTCTTTTTCTTTTCTAGTTATTATCATACCTTATCTATCTGTATTTTCTATAATATGGTTGTTTGGATCTTTGACCCTCTTAGATACTTTAGACTGCCTTGTTCACAGTTGTACCAATCTAACTGTATTTTTGATAAATTGGTTGAAGAGATGGTTGGAGTGGTAGTTATTTAGTTCATCGACCCCTTCGTAAAGGGTGTTTGTTTCATAGGGCAGATTCTTGTGTTTGCCTTTCTTTTCCTCCCGAAGAAACAAATATCTAGTTCTTTGACTTCTTGGATTAGATTCCTAGACATGATGTTCGCACTGTAAAATATTTGACTCATTCGTTAATAACATTAAATCATGTGAAAGTTATATGATTCATTTAGCACAATAATATCAAAAATTAATGTAAATCTATTTATATAATCTTATATAACTTTTAATAAACAAGATAAAAATGTGTTGTATTATCAGCACGATTTAAATTAATAAATAAAAAGATATATTTAATATTAATAGTTATTTTCTTTTATATTTAATTATTTTTAATTTATAATTTTATATAATTGAAATAACAAAACAGAAAGTTTAAATAAATTACGGTAAAAGTATTCAGACCTTTGGTTCAGTAACATCAAATCACATATAAGTGTATTTTTTTTTTTAAGATAACGATTCAAACTTGATTATTTATGAATTTGTTTAAAATAAAAAAAATTACGTAAAAAATCACTTTTTTTTTTTTTGTATGACGGGAGAAGATAAAATGGAAAGAAAAGATTGCCCGTGCCGTTTTATTGATGTCTCTGCCTCTGAATCATTTACGAAGTGCTTGAGGCACGTGGGGCGGTTGAGAATTGGGATAAGGCAAAGTTCCTTCCCTTATTGGGAATCAGAAAGCATTAATCCGACCAAAGGCCCCACCACCAGTAGCTTGGAGGTGGCCACTAGAACACGTTCACCACACAGTGGGAAAATGATTGCTTTGTTTTTTTTGGTATAGACAAGCATTTAATATCCTCCGTGGAATACAGCTCAACGCCTGCTTCGTCATGGCAGCTGTTTCTCTCTGCTTGCCTAATTCCTAACTCTACCTTGTTATGTGTTTGGAATTTTGGATCCCTAGAAAAATGTATGACTAGGTGTTTAGTTTTCTAATTAAATTTTTATTGGGTAGAAAAAAATTCTTTCATTTTTTATAAAAAATAAAGTGTAATTTATATAAGTTAAATTGTAAAATAGTAATTTTATTTTTTGGGAAATTGAGGCAAACTGGCAAAGTAATGAATTCACTCAAAAAAATTGTAACCATCCACAGCCTTACTGTTTTCCTTTCAAATGAGTTAGTATCAGATTGCGTAGGATAAAATTATCAACTAATTTCTATCAGTAATCCG